TCAAATCCAACGAGGGGAAGGGAAACCATCATCGAACAAGAGATTTGCAAATTGCGCAAATTAAAATATAAATAAATAAAATGTCAAAGGTGTGAAAGAATGGAAAATAAAGTGAAAGCTAGGAAGGGGAAGATAAACTGAAATTTGGAATTTGTTCGTTCATATTGCATGTTCCCAATTTGAGCCAATTTATAATTAGGAATCTTTTTTTTTTTTTTGGCCAACATAATTAGGAATCTCAATGCTTATTATAGAATGAAAAAATTCTTATCTTATATTAATAAATTAAATGGACTTTTTTTTAACTTTTCAATTTTCCTTTTAAAAGCTCATGATGGTCCGTCTTTTAGCGGACAAGCTAATGGGGTACACGTGTGAACATATGATGGAGAAATGCTTTGATAAAGCCGAAAGGGCAACTATATGTTATTGTATAAACTAGTTAAAAGCCAAAGCATATTTAGCTTGACAACTCATCAGACAAAATAAATAAAAGATATTAATTGTTGTGAATAACATAGAAACTGTGAAATGACAAAGAAATACTCCTCAGGTCTTATTTATAGAATAGAAAGGGAAAAAAAAATTTTAGTTATATTTCTAAAGCAAAGAGAAACTTTTGAGATAAATGTATAATTTTATCCTTTATTTATTATTATATTGACTTTGTTCTCATAAGATATAATGTACATTAAATAGAGATAAAATTGAAAAGTTATTAAATTTTAAATGAGATAAAGTTTAAGGTGTTTATTAATTTGTATGAAACATATTGAAGTTAATTTATAAATAGAACCAGAAGAATAACGTATATGAAAATGATGAATATAGACAAATAGAGAGAGAATAAGTGAGTTTTGCCCGCTGTATTTTGGTATTTAGACACACGTATACGACTAAGATGTCCTCAGTTTGATGATAATATCACTTCATTTCTTATTATAAGTTACTTGTAAAACAAATTTTAATTAATCTCAAATATAAGTCACTCAAAAAGTTATTAATAATTTTTTTCTACTTTTACTCCTTAATCCTTAATTTTTATTGAAAAGAGAGAGAGAGAAGAGAGAAATGAAAATAATTTATAAATTTAAAGAGAAAAAATTTCTTAATAAGGTCAAATTTGCACAAATTTCTCAATATAAGACATTTAATTACTTAGTTGTCTTTACTTGGTAAGAATAAGTCACGGGGGACTGGCTGGCAAATTAAATAAAAAAGACTTATAGGGACCCGAGTGGTATTATAATATTGATGATATCAATCACGTAATTATACAGATAAAAAGATGATAATCACGAGATGTTCAAAAGCTATAAACGCTGAAAGGCCTGAAACGCTCATTAATAAGGCTAATAATAGTATATTCAAAAGCCACGACGGCCAAAACAAAAACGTATATAATTCAAAAGCTACATCCATCTAGAACCACGTTCTCTTTATTATGAACACCTTCCTCCTTTTTCGGTGACCTTTGTGGCTCCCCACGCATTTTGGTTTATTAGTAAATTGGTTTATCAACAAAAGTAAATGGATGGATTAGTCTAGAAAGATTATTCTGTTTTAAGTTATTTTGTCACTTTACAAAATAAAAACGATTTTGTGATTAAAAAAGCTCAAATGATCGCCGCCTTCATCTGCCTAACTCTTCAAGATTTAAATCCCTTAATTTTTTACAAAGAAAAAAAAATCAAATAATTAGATATTCGAAATTAAAATATAAAAAATGTTCAAATTAGTTTTTATTATTTTAATGGGATAATTAATCTGCAAGTCCTTATAGTTTCAACCAATTTTGGATCAGGTCCCTATAATTTTTTTTCTTTTTATCAGGTCCTTATACTTTCACCAGTTTTTAATTAGGTCCTTGCATTTATTTTCTTTTTATCAAGTCCTTATAAGATCACCTTATTTTTAAGTAAGTCCCTGAATTTTTTATTCTTTATTTTATAAATTCTAATAGTACTATTCTATAAATATAAAATAGTATATATTATGTAATATTAGTTTATAAACAATAATATTCTAAAATAATGAATTATTATAATAATTTTATTTTTTTAGCAAAAAAAATTAATTGTTTTAAAAAAATTTCCTTAATTAATTAATTATATTACTTATCTTTTATTATATAATTATTAATATTTTATATTTCAGTATTAATTTATTTAATTAAGTTTATATTTAATTAATAAATAAAAATTAAAACTAGATGGACCTGATTAAAATTTTAGTGAAATTATAAGGACTTAATAAAAAGAAAAATAAATGCGAGGACCTAATTAAAAATATATGAAAGTATAAGGACCTGATAAAAAGAAAAAAAACTATAAGGACCTAATTTAAAATTGGTTGAAACTACAAGGACTTACGGATTAATTAACCCTATTTTAATTTTCATGAGATCAAACAATTGGGAGCTTGTTAGATTAACTTTTGAATAACTCTGTTTTCAAGGTGATTAAACTAAACTAAGAGCCAGTTCATTGATTTTGAGTCAAACTGATCAATTTTGTTTTTTCTTTTTAAGGATATTTAAGTGTGAGTGAACTAGAGTTAATTTGAAAAGTCTGGAATTGGACAAAATTAAGTTTAGTAAATAATATATAATAAAATAAAATAAAATAAAATGATCCATCATAAACTTAAGAGTTAATGTTTTAAGTTAAGATGTGGTGTCCTCTACTCCTGATTTCTCCTTTTTTTTTTTGGGCTTTGCTGCCTCCACATTCGGCCATTCCTTATAGATTCCGTTCATATTAATTTGCTTTTTGATCTTTTAGTTAAAAATAATTAGTCCAAAATGTGCAAAAAAATTGTAAATAATAAATTAAGCAATTTCTCAGTTTAGACTTTAAAGAGCCAATGAAACGCACCGCAATAATGGATGATTTTGTAGTCAATTCAACAAATATATAAAGGTAAGTAAACAACCTCATCCTCTTCAGAGTCCCCTTGGCCTTTGCATCATTTTTCTTTCTCTCTCTCTTTCTTTCTTTCCCTTATGTCAGAGTTCACGCCATTTTTCAATGAACATGTCTACTGAGGTGTTCAGGACATTTCCACTGTCTTTTTTACTTTTGACCAATGAATATTTCCACTGTCTAGACATTTCAGAATGGGCACAATGTATTTGTAACTATAAATAAAAAGTAATGACTTGAACAGAAATAAAGGCAAAAGTAATTATTCCTACTTAAAATGTCGTTATTGGATTTTTTTTTTTGCCCCACAAAAATGTAAATAAATTAATGAAGTAGTCAACACCAACGCCTATGTGGTTGACGTATTAAGCCTCACCGATTCAATGGATTTTTGTTGAAAATTGAGATCTTGTTACAAAAGATGTCAAGATCAAAGGAAGTTGCAGACTCTCTCTCTCTCTCTCTATATATATATATATATATCTTTTGTGCGTTGAGTTTCATCCTACATATGGAATATTGATCTCCAAGGTGGAGATAGAGATATTTGTACTTTATTATAAAATATGACTTACAAGTAAGGTGTCTGGGAGTCATCAGAAAATGCTAACATAACATGAAATGAAATGGCCAACTAAGCTAGGAAAAGGGTTGTTCAAGTAATTTGGGGAAAGGCATGTATCGATTGGGTTATGCGTAGTTAATGTTTGGTAGATTAGGGCCAAACTCATTTACAAGTGAAGCACACATAAAAATAAAACAAAGTATGGGGCAAGCATAATACGTCCCTTTATATGAAAAGTGTCCCTTGTCTGTACACCCTCAATAGATACCCAAGTCTTTTCTCCCTTTGATGTACTTGTTGCGTATGAGATACTGGAGTTGATTCTATTTGTGTGGCAATCTAATCATTTTGAGAGACTCACAAGTATGGCTAAACACTCAAGAGAGAAGTGAATTGAGTGTTATAAAAATTTTAGCAAATAATAATAAAACAATCAAACTGTTATAAATATAATATCTTTATGGATGTCCATGTATCTATCAGTATCTCCCTTATCTCCTAGTATCTTCAATATCTTCCATTATCCCGATTATCTGCAATTATCTTTTATTATTATATTTGTAGATTCTATCAAAGATGTAAAGCCGTGCCTATAAATAGAGGCCATGTACAATGTATTCAGCACCCCTTGAATAAAAAGAGAAATACTCTCTCTTATTGATATTCTTTTCTTCTCTGTTCTTCTTCTTTATTTATAACACGTTATCAGCACGAGGACTCTAACAAAGGTATAATATTCTGATCTTTTTCTTATTATTATGCATTATGTTTCATGATTTATTGTATATCCTCTATACTCTTCTATACTCTTCTACACTATGAGTATTTTTTTTCCCCATTCTTTTCCTAAATGGCTTGAAGCCATATGGTTTAAAGTTTTCTACTTTATGGCCAGAAGCCATAAAACTTCATTATTCTTTCTTATGGCCAGAAGCCATAAAACTTTGTTATTCTTTCTTATGGCCAGAAGCCATAAAAACTTTATTTTATACTTTATGGCCAGAAGCCATAAAACTTTGTTTTCTTTCTTATGGCCAGAAGTCATAATTTTGATTTTTCTATTTTAATGATCAGAAGCCATAATTTTAATTTTCTAACATATAGCTAGAAGCCATATAATTTTTAACTCATGACCAGAAGTCATTCAAATTTGATTTTATCTGAGTAAATGGCTAGAAACTATGTATATATTTATTTTTTTTAGAAATATTTATTGTTTATTTGTTAATTTATTTTGATTTGATAGATATGATTTTAAAATGATTATACCTGTAGAGACAATATACCAAATTTTGTCTCTTTCTCATTTAATTTTCTTTTCATTTGTTTTCTTCTGGTAATTTATAATTTTTTTTTCTTTTCTTCTCATTAGCGAAGAGCAATGTAATTTCCATACATGGCAATTTTTTTAATATTATATTCTTTTGTGGTAGTGCCATCATGTCAAACCTTACAAAACTTGAGTTTGTGGCTCTTGCCTTCTTGTAGCTAAGCAAAATAATGAGCTTTTAATGAAAAATCATGAATCCTGTCCAACCGGCTCCACTCCATTCCCGGAAGCAAATATAGTAGTAAATGGACCAACACATGGTCGTGGAGGAGGACATGGACGTGCACAAGGCCGTCGCATTGACCGCGGACGTGGTCATGGTCATAATCGAGGTGGTTCAAATTCCTATTCAAAGAGGGCAAAGAATGATGAGAATCGCAAGAGAAAAACTAGTGGAAGTAATAACCACTCTGAAGACTCGTGTTATCGTTGTGGTGGAAATGGTCATTGGTCACATACCTGTCGTACACCAAAACATTTGGTTGACCTTTATCAAGAATCGCTTAAAAATAAAAGTAAAGGCAATGGAAAAATGCCAAGGGAAGAAACCAATTTTGTTGATGAAGAGGGTGATTCTGATTATGGCAACATGGATGCCACTCATTTGGATATTGCTGATTTCTTTGCTGATCCTAATGGAAAGATTGATCACTTGATTGGTGATGGGAATGTTCAACAATAAATTGCTTTAGTGAAGTTAAATTTCTATGATTTTTTTTCTTTTCATCTTCTTTTATAAAGTTTCTACTTTCAATGTTGTTATTTTTCCAGATTAATAAAATTACAAGTATTTTCCTTTTATTACTTTTGTTTCTTCCCCCTTCTCTTGACTATGTTCCTTGTAACGAAGAATGGCTCCTATTGACGTCAATCATGAAGATTTATGTCTTGTTGACAGTGCAACAACTCATACAATACTTAGAAATAAAAAGTATTTCTCTTCTTTGGTAATACAAGAAGCCAACGTTCAAACTATATCTAGAAGTGCAAAACTGATTGAAGGCTCCAGAAGAGCCAATATATTGTTACCTGGAGGAACAATATTATACATTGATAGTGCATTTTACTCAACTAAGTCTAAAAGAAATTTGTTGAGTTTTAAGGATATCCGCAATAATGGATACCATATCGAAACAACAATTGAGGAAAATCAAGAATATCTTGCTATTACAAAGTCAACCTCAAGTAAAAAATGCACACTAGAAAGATTGCCTGCATTTTCTTCTGGCTTGTACTACACAATTATTAGTACAAATGAAGTACACATCATTATAAACCAGCAGTTTATAAATGATAACAAATTTAATGTTTGGCATGACCGGTTAGGCCATCCCAAGACAATTATGATGTGAAAAATAATTGAGAATTCATGTGGACATTCATTGAAAAGTCAACAAATACCACAATCCAATGTTTTCTCATGTAATGCATGTTCCAAGGGAAAGTTAATTGTTCGGCCATCACCAGGAAAACTAAAAAGTGAGCCTCTCACTTTTCTAGAACACATACAGAGAGATATTTGTGGACCGATACATCCACCATGCAGACCATTTAGATATTTTATGGTTCTAATTGATGCATCAACAAGATGGTCGCATGTCTGTTTATTATCTTCGCGTAACCTGGCGTTCACAAGATTATTGGCTCAATTAATTAGATTAAGAGCACATTTCCCGGATTTTCCTATCAAGAAAATACGTCTTGATAATGCTGGTGAATTTACTTCACAAGCTTTCAATGATTATTGTATGTCTCTTGGGATTGATGTTGAACATCCTGTGGCTCATGTGCACACACAAAATGGACTTGTAGAATCATTGATCAAACGTTTACAATTAATTGCGAGACCATTACTTATGAGATCAAATCTCCCAATTTCTGCTTAGGGACATGCAATTTTGCATGTAGCAATGTTAATTCGCATCAGGCCAACAAGTTATCTCAAGTCCTCCCCTTTACAAGTAGTTTTTGGTCATAAACCCAATATTTCCCATCTAAGAACCTTTGGATGTGCTGTACATGTTCCAATTGCTCCCCTACAACGTACCAAGATGGGGCCTCAAAGAACGATGGGAATATATATTGGATATGAATCTCTGGCTATAATAAAATATCTATAACCGTCAACAGGAGATTTGTTCACGGCTCAATTTGCCGATTGTCATTTTGATGAGTCAGTTTTTCCAACAATGAGGGGAGAAAATAAGAAGTTGGAAAAGGACATTAGTTGGAAAGAATTATCACTGTCTCATCTTGATCCTCACACAAAAGAATGTGAATTGGAAGTTCAAAAGATGGTCAATTTACAAAGTTTAGCAAATCAATTACCAGATGCATTTACTGGCCCAAAGAGAGTAACAAAATCACATATTCCAGCTGTTAATGCTCCTATTAAAATTGATGTCCCTGATGGACAACCAATTGTGAATGATTCTAAAGCACGCATGAAGCGTGGCAGGCCCATCAGCTCCAAAGATAAAAATCCTCGATAGAAAAAAGGAGTTAAAAGTATAGATGGCCTAGTCGAGAATAATTTAGAAAAGTTAGCAACTCCAGAAGAGTCATTAGACAATGCTAACATCCCAATTCTCAGTGAAAGTCAGGTACCTGAAATATGTGAAAATGATGAGATCTCAATTAATTATGTTATGAATGGGAAACGATGGGACCAAAGTGAAGTTGACGTCGATGATATTTTCTCTTATAATCTAGCGCTCGATGTGATGAATGATAATGAGGATCATGAACCAAAGTCAACTAGTGAATGTAAACAAAGAAAGGATTGGCCAAAATGGAAAGATGCAATTGAGGCAGAATTAAAATCGCTAGAACAGCGAAAAGTTTTTGGACCAGTAGTCCTTGCACCTGAAGATGTAAAACCAGTTGAATATAAATGGGTTTTTGTGCGAAAGAGAAATGAAAAGGGTGAAATCATAAGATACAAAGCACGACTCATTGCCCAAGGATTTACACAAAGACCTGGTATCGATTTTGAAGAAACTTATTCACCAGTAGTGGATACAACTACTTTTCAATACTTGATTAGCCTCACAGTAAATAAAGGGCTCAATTTACATCTAATGGATGTTGTTACAGCCTATCTGTATGGCTCACTTGACAATGACATTTATATGAGACTCCCTGAAGGGCTGAAATTACCAGAAGCATACAATTCAAACTCTCAAGAACGATACTCAATTAAGTTAAACAAATCCCTATATGGATTAAAGCAATCAGGGCGAATGTGGTATAATAGGCTTAGTGAGTATCTATTGAGGGAAGGATATAAAAATGATGCAATATGCCTATGTATTTTTATGAAAAGATCAGGAAATGAGTTCGTTATAATCGTTGTGTATATTGATGATATAAATATTTTTGGAACTTCTAAAGAGCTTAAAAAGACAGTGAATTGCCTAAAGAAAGAATTTGAAATGAAGGATCTAGGAAGAACAAAATTTTGCCTTAGATTACAAATTGAGTAGTTGAAAAATGGAATTTTTGTATATTAAGAAACTTATACAAAAAAGATCCTAAAACGTTTTTATATGGATAAATCACATCCATTATGTACTCCAATTGTTGTAAGATCTTTAGAGGTGGATAAGGACCCTTTTAGACCTCGAGAAATCGGGAAAAAAGGTGATGAAGAGCTACTTGGTCCAGAAGTACCATATCTTAGTGCGATTGGAGCACTAATGTATCTTGCTAATCATACATGACCTGATATATCATTTGCAGTCAACTTACTAGCAAGATATAGTTCTTCACCAACACGAAGGCATTGGAATGGAGTTAAACACATCCTTCGTTATCTTAAGGGTACAATGGATATGGGATTATTTTATTCGAATGCATCCAAGACCGATCTTGTTGGCTATGCAGATGTTATATTTCAGTCTGACCCATATGTCGGTAAATCACAAACTGTCTATGTATTCACATGTGGTGGTACAACCATTTCATGGCGATCTATGAAACAAACTATATCAGCCACATCATCTAACCATACAGAGATTCTAGCAATGCATGAAACAAGTCGGGAATATGTATGGTTAAGGTCCTTAATACATCACATACGAACTACTTGTGGCTTGTCTTTTGGTAAAATGATCCCAACAATACTGTACGAAGATAATACTGCATGTATTACCCAACTAAAAGAAGGGTACATCAAAGGAGACAAAACAAAGCATATCTCCCCAAAATTCTTCTTCACTCGTGACCTTCAAAAGGATGGTGAAGTCAATATCCAACAAATTCGTTCCAGCGAAAATTTAGCAGAATTATTCACCAAATCACTTCCAGCCACCACGGTCGAGAGACTTGTTCATGACATTGGGCTTTGTAGACTCAGAGATATCAACCGACATTGTCAAGAGGGGGAGTAAATGTATGTTGTACTCTTTTTTTCCTTGTCTATGGTTTTTCCCATTGGGTTTTCATAGCAAGGTTTTTAACGAGGCAACACTATGAAATATATATTAATAAATGTTGCACTCTTTTTCTTCTACTAGGTTTTGTCCCATAGGGTTTTCTTAGTAGAAGTTTTTTTAACGAGGCACATATTTAGTTATGCACATCCAAGAGGGAGTTTTATGAATATAATATCTTTATGGATGTCCATGTATCTATCATTATCTCCCTCATCTCCTAGTATCTTTAATATCTTCCATTATCCCCATTATCTGCAATTATCTTTTATTATTATATTTGTAGATTCTATCAAAGATGTAAAGCCGTGCCTATAAATAGAGGCCATGTACAATGTATTCAGCACCCCTTGAATAAAAAGAGAAATACTCTCTCTTATTGATATTCTTTTCTTCTCTGTTCTTCTTCTTTATTTATAACACAAACCAAATTAATATAAATAGAGTAGAGTCACTATTACAAAATATACTTGCAACCTTGTTTGTTAACATCAATTATTTGGAAAAAAAAATATGGCAGTATTTTTGTAATATTTTGAAGAGTTTAACTTCCCTTATTCAAAAAGCTGACATTGTAAGTCTTGACAAGACAAAAACGAGTGAGAAAAATGCCAAGAAACAAAGTCATTTATATAAAAAGCGAATTTGTTTTGATTACAACATTAGTTTTAATTTTATAATAAACGATGTTAAACATCCTGTCAATTTATATTTTAACCTAGTCGCATCGTATTTTCATAGCTTCACTTCTCATTTTCACAAAGTTGTCATGATTCCCCCCCTTGCCCTACCCCATTCAAACATTTATCTTCCTCTCATCGCTAGCATTTCTCCAAAGTTTTTCAACAATCTCCATCACTTTTTGTCGTCATTGTTACTATTGCATCATTATTATAAGTGTTTTTTTTTGCACCATATCATGTCAACTTAGACTAGGTAGGTGCTCAAGAAGATAGCATATCAACATCTAGCTATTGTACCTTTGTGTGGGGGTAATATAGTGACATGGCAGAGTAAAAAATAGAAAGTTATATCCAAAAGTAGTGTAGACTCATAATTGAGAGCCTTGGCTCAAGATAATATAGAGGGTCTCTAGTTGAAGAGAGTAATAGAAGAGGCTTAAGTTCATATTAGCAAGTCAGTGAAACTCTCTTGTGACAACAAGATAGCTTTAAATATGGTTCTTAACCCAGTACAACACAACAAAACCAAACACATTGAAGTTGACCAACACTTTATTAGAGAAAAA